TGCGGACAGGATGGAACCTACGGAACCGGTGTAAGCAAATGCTAAGGCCGACGAGCGCGCGAGTAACCACTGCAAAAACCACAGCGAAATGGCAAGGTCGGTGGACGAAAAGTGGAAAGAAAATGTGAAAAAAGATGGAATTTTGAATGAAGTTGTGATGTTCAGTGGTGTGACATTACAGCGGAAGAGTTCATAGTTGCTTCATAGTTTCTGCAGCATAAATAAGTCCGAGTAATTTGCATATACATGCAGCTTAGAAGTTAATGAGTGAATACAGGCTGTCAACGAACGGGTTAAATGGCAAAGGAGATGAAACCTGTCTGTGAAAAATAAGTTGGTCTGTAACTCTTGCACCATACTTCCCCTTCTCCCCCAACAGTACTAATATTTCTGCTCTTGAAAGCAAAGTCCGTGACCACAGATAGCGGGTAACGGACCTTGCATACGGACGAGAAAGTGCTACACAACTGACTAGTGGAAAAAAAGCAGCAGGAAGAACAGTACGAAATGCCGCTGATAATAGGGCTCTATAATGCGACCCCGACTGGTTTTATACTCGAATCGTGAGATCGGGTAGGCGGAGCATCCGAAGCACTTGTAAAGAACTGGTTAGCTAATGGAATAATACAAGTCTGGAAACAAGCTGTCATGACTTGTCTGTGTCTTGTTCTGTGTTGGTAGAAGACACGAAAACAACGTAATTGTGTCGTGATGAAATAAATATCAGAAGCGGTAAACAGTGCCCTAAGGACTAGGGTCACAGCATCGTTGTGTGAAACACATAGGGGGGGGGGGTTCCGTATTTGTTAAGAGAGAAAGAAAAAAATAAAAAAACATAATTTATTTTTGATAGTTGATTTTTTCCTGGTGAGAGAGGGGTCGTAGACACCTGTCGGATAGTACGTTCAATAGTGATTGTATACCGCCACGCGGCCCGCCCCCCCCCCGCTCGACGAGTTTTTCGCCGACTATATACTCATCGGTCGTCAGTCGGCGAAAGAGCCGGTCGAGCTGAGGGGGGATCGTACTCACACCGACATATCGCCTATCCCTATGCTGTACCCTGCCTAAGGATAAGTTGAAACATGCGACCACGCCTACCCGATCTCAGGGATCTCGAGTGTACGTGCATGCCATGAGTGTTTGTACGAATTTCCACTCGTCGTTATCATAACGATATCACCTTTTTATGCTATCATCTCACTTTCATCGTTCGTAATGGAGAGAGATGGCATAGTGGCTCCTAACTATAGCTAACAGCCCAGTGGGAGTCGCAATGGCCTATATGTAGAGGGCGCCCGGGCCCAACTGGTTAGCTTTCAATGGAGTTCTTGCCTATTTTCACCTTTTGAAGCTAGTTTCTGCATTCACCTTCCAGATCGCCTGACACATTCGAAAGTCGAGTCCGGTGTGAGTGTTATCGCGGAAAGTGCCTCTAAGATCATCTAAAAATGGTGACTATCCCAGTTCACTACAAATATCCTGTGGTCCACTAGACTAAAAACAAACTGACCGTTCAGAACTAACTGCTCGTCTAATGGTTAGAAACGCGATATCTGAAACCTTCTCTCTCAGAGTCTTCCGACGCAATCACCTTTCCTTAGTAGGTTAGCAGGTTGAGTACCCCGAGTAATGTAATAGCCTGATGGGTCAGTAGGAGGTGAGTATAAATCTAGGAACCGATAGCCCAAAGAGTAATTCTATGAGCTGACGGTAAGTTGATATGCGCGGCAGCATGCTTTAGGCAAACTGGTACCACGATAACTGCTATTTGCGCAGTTCAACTTGCTGGGGACAATGCAGTTCAGCGAAGTTTGTGCAGGCCACCCCGTGAAGACCTTGTAAATTTTTTTAACCAAAGTGGCTCATTTGTGCCATGGTGCACTTCGACAGATGTTTTTAATAAGTCTCCCCCATTTTGAGACGCTGATGTTACTCAACATGAAATAGCAAAAAGAACAAAACGAACGTGGCTAGTCGCACTCTAAGCCCCAACACAACTGCGTTCTAGTGGACCACCCGCGCTCAAAGAAAGTAATGCGCATCAATTTGTTTTGATGTAAATGTAAAAGGACTCGACCTTAGGGGATCCGAACGGCCGGCATCGCATGTTACACCGGGCGAGTGCAGTTTTATTGGGTGCGGTTTGGCGACATGGGAGTGGGAGGGAGGCATTTTGCGCTCTGGCTACTTCCCATCTACGTATTGAGGCCATCTAGAGAACTTTCATTTTATGAGCTTGCAAGAGTTTACAAGGTTCTATCTGGGGCTGAAAAGAGCTCACTCGCAAGTGTGTGGCGAGCGTGAGCGACAGGTTTCACGAGATGAGGCATTGCGTACAAGGAACTAGTGATACACGGCAGTGAAAAGTGCCCCTTCCCTTCTCCGTCCCCGAACTGCCACTTTTCAGTATTCAAAAGAGGGTTTGTGCAGAGCTGCGATTAGAGATGACGTTTTTTTGCTAAAGTCTAATGGTAAGATGAGGAGGAGGTCCTGGGTTGGTGAGTCAACAACTTCGGGGAAAACATGGTTCCGCACCACAGTACCCCGGGTGTTGCAGCCTTCTTACATTATCGATCTCTTTTCCGCGTTACTCTGAGCTCAATGTCTACAATTATCATAAAGGCACGCAAGAAAGTTGAAGTTGTTCAATAAGACTGATGCAAACTTTTGAACCCTCAACCCAAACTGTTTTTGTATATCTACGTGGGTGAGGCAACGCTGCTGAATGCTATCGAATGTATTAATTGGAAAAGATGTGCTCGTTGAAACACTTGGGGAGATGGGAAATATGAGAGTGTCATGTGGGTCGGTGTGTGTGGAGTCAATTTAATTATTGACAGCTTGAGCAAACGTCTCGAATGGTTCCGTGAGTGATGTGCGCAACCATGAAAATTAACAGCAATGGCGATGAGAAACGTAAAAAAAAAAACATGAAGCCGAAGTCAAGTGAGAAATATCGAGTTTGGGAAATTACTTTCATGAGATATAATTAGAATGCAATGAAATGTAATAAAGCAGTGCGAGAAACTTTGAATGCTGAAACAATAAAAAATAAAAAAAAATTACTCGGTAATCGCCGAAAAAACAGAACGTCACGTCATCGTACTTCGCCTCAACATTTCCTCATTCCGCGGAAACATGCATTCGTGTGTAAAAATGAGAAAACGTAGCAATTACCATACACATATATCTCCGGCATCTTTACATGTTGAGGTATCCTTCTGAAGGTGTTTGTCTCGCAGACGGTGATGCTCCTGTAGAGTGATCTTGACAATAGAGTAAGCTGTTCAGCAAGGAGTTTTCAGTTCTTACTCGAAATTATTCTCATTGCCTCAATCAGCGTCAGGCTTTTCAGGAAATCATCAACTGTTGACAGAAAGGTTTTCTCCGAGCCACTACGAGCGCCCGTCCTTTTTCGATCCTTTTGTCAGAGTATATATTTTAGATGATCTTCACCTTCATATGTGAACTCGTCCAACCGCTAAGATTAAACGGAAAAGGTGCTCCTAATTGAGGGAGTTTTACTGTTTTTTTTTTGCTTCTGCATATTCGCCCGTGTAGCAGTTGCCTGCCGAACAAGCTGGTGAAATAATTCGCAGTACTTCCGTTCTCATAGATGGCTTAATCTTCAATTCTTTATACCTGCCGGCCTAATGTAGAGTCAAGCTTATGTCGCGGAATTCGTGACGGAGATGGGTCGTATTCCGTCCGCCCCCCCTCCCCCCTGGAAGGAGAGGTTCGTATTACATCCCCGCTCCTCGGGAGGAGATGGTCCCATTTGTTTGCGGTCAGTGCTCATAATCAAGCGACGTGAATGGTAATGCAATCCGATGAAAGAACAGGGTACATGGCGCAGTTCCAAGTTAGAAGGTGTTGACCAGCACCTTTGCGGTGCAGTTCCCATTTAGCCCATGAGAAGGTGTACGGCTACCGATCTTTCGTACTGAGCTGATTTTCGAAGCAAAATCTGCGACGGGTGAATATCGTTACAGATAAGCTATAACAGAAAACCCTCAAGTTGTGACTAAAGAAACTTTTTTAAAGTGGATAACTCGCGTTCGCTGAACATTTTCCGGGTCATTCTCCGGTAAGAAGCCGTAATGCAAGCTTGGTGAAAGCTGTAGCATGTTTCTTATAGACCCTTCCCATGTAACGTGGATAGATCTAACAGCTCTGCGAAAGAAAGTTTCTGAAGGTTATAGTCTCCAACTTCTCTCTTCATAGAACCTCGGCATCGTTTGTTATATTGTGTTTAATTCTTTTTGTGGCCTTCGACGTCAGTTGTTTTATGGTGGACTTGTTTATTAACAGCTAACGTCTCGACCAGATCGTCGTCCTTGGAAGCCAAGTGCACCGCGGCAGGAGCGGCTGCATTCAGTAAGTTTCAGGAGCGTTACGTGTGCTAGCACTTTTTCAATGAGTTTTTCTGCTTTGTTGTTGAAGAAGCTCTTTTTCGCGCACTATAGTGTAAGGAGTGACTTCTCAACGAACTAAATAGCGTACTTGCCTGCAGGAGTTCCGAAAACTGGAGAATTGTCGCAATGAGAATTCAAGACACGATCGCCTCTGTGAAGTGAGTCCTTGCAAGAGCGACGAATCAAGCCGCCCTGAACACGATCGCTCTGAAGTGAGTCCCTCATAACAGCTGATGCAGCCGCCTAAGTACGAGCCACCTCCTCTTGTCACATAGAACTCTTTGAAAGGGCCCGCATGCACTTTTACTTCCATAAAATGTGTACCTCCGTTCTCGAAGCCGCAGGTGGCGCACTGTGCAAAATTTAAGAACGTGCCACTTTATATGACAACTTTGATTGACCGCTGAAACTAATCAGCTGATTGGTCTGAATGCGTCAACGGCATATCTTCTCGATTGCCGCTTTTCGATCACCCTTCAAATTTCATTAAAGTAAGAGCATTGCTGCGCGCCACCGCGGCCGTTTAGTTGTACAACAGATTAGGAACTTATTATTATTACGATTATTCACTACAAAACCGAATTAGATGAAGTAATGTCTGGGTTTCTTAGTGACGTAAACGAAGCGACGTCTAGTGGTAGTTGTGGTCGCGGTGGTTGTCTCTTCATAGTCCTCTTCGAAGCTATCGAGTTCGCTCAAGGGCGCCTGGATGGATGTGCGCGAGCCAAACTGAGGTGGGAGATCAACCTGAACAGTTCAACACATTAGAGTCGTCAAACTGCTACACTAAGTTTGCATCGAAGTCCCGGTCGGGACTAACAAAAACAGATACCGTATCATCCTGCGGTTTAGGGTCGGATTCCTTTGTCTTCCTCATTGGTGTGGTAGTTGTCGGCGCTGCCGTTGACGGAGGTGAATCTGGAAATCTAACCATTATTTGAATGCTTTGGTTTCTTGAATGTCTCGCTGCACTGACTTGGAGGTGGTGTTTTCAGAGCATTGGAAGCTTCTGGAAGCCTCCTCGTCCCAATAATTGTTCCTGGTGCACGACTATTTGGTCCATTGGATCTAAAAAAAAGCATAACTCACTCAAACGCTCTTCCAACAGTTCGCAAAAAGGACCGAAGTAGGAGGGTTCCTACGAAAGGAAGCTTTTGAGAAGCGAGGGTGATGCTGAAATCGGGAGCTCCTGTGTTGTATTCTAATAGGAGCTAGGACGACAGCAAAAACAAGACTAAGATCTACGTGAAGCGCTTTGAGAGTCTTGCTATAACCAAGAGCCTTGTTTGGAACTTGGACGGCGTGAACTAGACCCGCAATAAGGAGCAACCTTAGTGACTTTCACGGACATGTATGGGGGGGGAGGGAGAAAGACACTTTTCATCCTTGGCTTTCAAGGCGCTCTAAGTTACACTTTACTGAACGGATTTTCACCGTGATTCGGTGCCTGAGTTCAGCGAGATCGTTGATTTCTCCGCCACTGTAGACCACCCTGTTGAGCTCCGCCCGAACCGGTAATTGAGGGGGTCACACACTTAGATATTCCGTCTTCTTCAGGTACTCAACGCCCTTCCATTCCAAGTAGGCGAGAGTTTTTCCAACGCCCTTCGATTCCGTGTGGAGGCACCCAATCCTGTAGCAGTACGAAGTTTCCAAGAAGGTACAGGCAGGCAATGACATGAAGGCAGGATATTCTCCACGAGTTGGTCGATGTAACCGTCAGCGCTCACCTTCAGTCCGGGGTCCACGAAGAAAATATCGGTCTTCCATTCCATTCCGGTCCATACCATCAACCCGCGCCTTGGCGACTGCGGTGAAGATGATATCCTGGACCGTAGCGACGTTGTCGGAGCTGCTCGATGTTGGAGGTCTTCCAGATCAAGAGTGCTGGTCTCCAGGTAGCTATAACCGGCTTCGGGCAGCGATCCATGGGTGAATCCATCAGAAGGTTCGAACTTTGGAGATGACGTGAATTCAAAGGCTCCTCCAGTCAGGCGTAATTTCCGATGGATTATATTTTGGTACATGAAAGTGATGGGCGGCAGCCTGCTCCTGCTTATCGAGGAACATCTTAAGTATCTTTCGTCCTGGTACTCGTATCCATGTGCTCTGTCTGCTGGCTGCGGAAACTTTGCTGATATGTGGCGAAGTGTCTTTTTTTGCCCCCCCAACTGTATAGTCTACAACCGAAACTCCACAAACAGTAGACGGGATTTTTAAGACTTGAAATTTACTTTAGTACGCAGTGGATGATATCATTTTCGAAGTTTTTCATCGATGTGTCTCAGAATTTCCGCTAAAAGCGGAAATAGCTCCAGGGAAGCGAGGCTGAGAGTGAATTCTATCAATTATTGAGGCAACCTTCTAATCTCTGAGCTTTCCATCATGCGTTGTTTCATGATGGTCAATGTAGAAGAAAGCTCACACCAATAGCGCTTAATCCTTGAAAAATACCTTTCACCGGGCGGTCCGGCTTCAGAATGCGCTGGTGGAGCTGCTTTGAAAGAGGACAGCTTCGATGCCACTATACGCTGAGTTCGCCACTGAATGTGGGCGAATATGACAGGAGCGCTGAAAAGGTTTCATTTTGGGCAGAAGATTAAGCATGGAAAGCACTTAAATGCCTTACAATTCTATTCTTGGACTAACCTCATTCCATGATGTGCAATTCGGAGGACATCTTCGTCTTCTGAAGACTCATCCCTGGTTTGTGGTTTCGGTGGTGGTGGTGATGGTGGTGGAGAAGGCTTCGCTAATACCGGGTTTTGTCATTGTAGGCCTCACGGTTTGTGCAACAGATTTCTTCTAAAACATTTTTATTCGATTCGTAACTGGGTACCAGAACTTAAAGGCACGGTCCGCGATCAGGTATCGAAGTTGCAAATATGGCGTCAGGAGGTTAGGGTGGTCAGCGACGAATAACCTTGTACCGGGTTTCGCGGCAAAAATTTTTAAAGGAGGGGCGCTATAGCGCAAATATAGTCAGTGGTTCCTCCTTTTTTCCAGTGACTCCGCCTCCAGACTCCACCTTAAATACCGGGCTTTCAGTGAAACGAGATTGCAGGATGAAAAAACTGAAAATCGTCACTTGTACGATCGTAGAGTTCTTATCGGTGAATCAACTGTGCGTATGAGGGCGTAGTGTGAAGATAGAGTTAATTTGGTACGTACAGACTGGGATCAACAGTAGTGTTACTATCTAGGGCAGGAGCATGTTTTTATTGGGTTTTTTTGTCGTTCACTGTCGAGTTACTCAACCACTTGTCGCCTATATGGAACCCCCTAATCCACTATCTGGGATGGCGAATAATCGCGGGTTCTGCCTTTAATACCATTTCATAGATTCGCATAAATCTCTAAGGACGTAATCTGTACATTTTGTTCATGCGCTCCCACAAAATGAGCCACGATGTGACAATGGCACTTAGTTCGCTCAGGTCTAAGCCAACGTGCTTCACGTGTGCTAGATTCTGACAGACTAAGATCTTGTTGGCGGCTGGACCAACAACATTGAAAAAAGGGTTCATTCTTCGCATGCATTCTAGTCTCTTACAGCACCGCCGTTCAGGAGGACTTTGTATAGGCTGCCACAGTATCATGCAAAGGTTACCTGAATATTCTGAAATGGTACGGTGAAGCTTCGATAAAACAAGCGCTTACATAGGAAAGATTCATTGCTAGGTGCGCAGATGTTCTTCAACATCCATTCAGTGTGTTTACCGATGTCATGCTATCCTTACCATAACCAGCCTAGCCCTTTCCCTTTCCTTCCACGCCTGAAGCTCAGATCCGTTGACCACGTAGCTTGCCTATCACAAGCTGCGCAAGTGGCTATGCCAAAACTTTCCTACTGATGTTAAAGTAATATACAGGGGGGCCAAAAAAAAGTCATTCCGGCCGAGTCACATATGAGCGAAGTTTTCGCAGCCCAGACAGAGGAAGTGGATATGAGTACCAGGGCGGAAGATACCCAAGATCTTCCTCTATAAGCAGGAGCCGGCTGCCGCCATTCACCTTCATGTACACCAAAATATGAAGTCATCTCCAGTCGCGGCCTGAGTGGAGAACGCCTTTGGAATTCACGTGGCCTCCAAACAGCTGCGGAACTTCTTGAATGGAATCACCCATGGATAGCTACCTGGAGACAAGTACTCTTGATCTGCAAGACCCCAAACATCGAGCAGCTCCGGCAACGTCGCTACGGTCCAGGACATCATCTTCACCCCATTCACCAAGGCGCGGGTTGATGGTGTGGACCGGCCGTACCTGGAATGGGAAGACCGATATTTTCTTTGTAGACCCCGACTGAAGGTGAGCGCTGGCGGTTACATCAAGTAACTCGAGAAGGATATCCTCCCTACATGTGGTCGCCCGTACCTTCTTGGAGACCTTGTGCTGCTACAGGTTTGGTGCCACCACATGGAATCGAAGGGTTTTGGAAAAACTCCCGCCTACTTCGAATGGAAGGGCGTTTCGTACCTGATGAAGATGTAATATTGAAATATGTCCCCTGACCTGAACCACTCAATTACCTAGTTCGGGCGGAGCTCAACAGGGTGGTCTACAGTGGCGGAGAAATCAACGATCTCGCTCAACTCCGGTACCCACTCACTTTCGCGCGGCCGAATCTCTCGATGGCGCTCCTCCAGAAGGCTGTGGCGGAGTATCATTATAGTATTTAATGCGCTCTTTAATATGGTATCAAAAATGTCCGATAAAAATTTAATAAGGTGTAACTTATAGCGCCTTGAAAGTCATGGAGGCAAAATGACTTTTTTTTGGCCCCCCCTGTACATATATAGAGACGTTCAGTACGTTCAGCGTGAATGACGAATTTGGAGGGATCCCTATGCCATGGACATCGTCTTCACCAAGTTCAACTGCCAACCGACCTTCCCTCATGCGGTCGACGCTCTTTCCCCATGCCTTTCCATCCCAAGTGGCACAAACCGTCCTCGAATACGAGGCACGAAAGTCGGACAGTGGGTCTGGGGTCGTGTCATGCGACTCCAAAAAAATCCTTATCCACTGACCGTGAGCAGAAATGTTCCCGCTGCACGGAGCTTCGATGGCTGCTTCTGCTGCAACCCCGTTGTAGCTTTTCTTGAGTCAATCTTGGAGTCTTGGAGAAAATACGGCGCGATAAACAGATAGCATGGGCAATGAGGATAATTGCTAATTTCGTATGGTTCTTTCCATTCTGCATACACCAACACAAAGACGTTGCCTTTTCACAGGAGATGCATATATTCATCCCTCGCAAAAAGGCAACGCAGAGTTCCGATGAAAGCAGATGGTAGCACTCGAAGTGCTATTGTTTGGCGCTGCGTAGGGTTCCCCGTCTACGAAAGGTTTCGATGAATCCAAACTAAAAAAAGCTACAGATCTGGAAGAACGACGGCTGCAGCGCAGCAAATCTAAATCCTGCAAGGGCCCAACTCGCCGAATCTCGCATTTCCTGCTCATGCCAAATCGTCTAGCCAAGAAATGTTTCACTAGTTTAGAAGAATGCTGATGTCAATTTATGAACCAGAACCTTGACTCCAAGCAGGACTCGACTTGCATTCGAGCGCTCTTTCCGTTACACGCAAGGGCAACTTTCAACCTCTCAGCTCAATACCTACTCCACAGCCTTCTCCTCCACAGTCTACGCGTGCCCGCGCCTCGGACATCATGTACTGTACCCAAAAAATCGTTACATCCGGCTTTTGTTGGAAGTATTTATTGAAGAGGTGAAAGTAGAAGTTGCTATTGACTTTCTGCTCTGGCACTTGGGATGCAGTAACCACTCACAGTAAGGGACCATGAAAGCATGTTCTCCAGCTGTTCATAACAATGATGCTGACGGTAAGTGAATCTTTATGCGAAGCCTGTTCTGCTTCAGCTAGCACTCTGGTACGGCCCGAATAAGAGCCAAAGTAGCCTCGAATACTGCGATCCGGAATTTTAAGGTTAAATGCGGCAATTTCACTTTGGTGATGAAAATAATTCTCAACATGGTGTGCTGTACTAGCTCTGCCTTTGCGATGAAAGGCAGTTTCTTCTGTAGTCGAGGAAAAAAAGGTAATTTTAGTAGTTTGTGATGCAGGCGACCACAGTTGTTACTGCTCCCACGGTTCTTATTTGTGTGAGCAACAAGAAGAAATAAGAATTTTTAAGACTTACATTTTGCTGATTAATAATTTGCAATTCCATTGGACAAGGGCAGAACTTCGCATCGGCTCCTTTTTCTCCAGGTGGTCCTTGAAAATAAATGTGAAAAAAAAGCAGCAAAACGTATTCTTGTTCTTCTGTATGCGTCTCATAAGGTAGAGTATCCCACCATGGAGCGAGAAGAATTTCAATAGAAAAACTCTCTACTCCTCCTCTGCTCCCCAAAACGATATGGTAAATCGAGTAAGGTTACTATTTTGATCCACCTACCTTTTGGTCCTCTATCTCCGACATTCCCATTTACTCCGTCCAGCCCATTAGGACCTGGTTGGCCCGTCGGACCTGGCGGTCCGTAGATGTAGTTTCGCTGCAAGTCTTTCATTCTTTGAAGCGAAACAAACGCATATACTGTTGTTTAAAAATCGAAAGAATCGCAATTAAAAATCGAAAATCGCACCTTTCCCCGTGGTCCTTGAGCTCCAGCCCTCCCAACGGGGCCATCTGCTCCTTTTGGTCCAGGTTTGCCAACTCCACCCTCTGCAGGTCGTCCGCTTGGACCCTGAGCTCCCGGTTTTCCGGGGTAACGGGCGGGTCCAACATCCCTTCCGCGTTCCAATGTCACCCTTAATCGAGTTGGTAGCGTGTCAGCTTGCATAAAAAGGTTCAGAATGTAAAACAAACCGTCGATTCCATCAGTTGCGGGAGTGCCAGAAGGACCTTTCGATCCCTCCCTTCTCCCCAGTCTCGCCACGATCGCCCGGCGGTCCCATGGGGCCCATCTCACCGGCGGGGCAAACGACACATTTCTCTTCCTGTTCTGCGAGAATGTCTCTGGCATCTTTTCCTCGAATTCCCTGGTGCGCCGTCATTGCCCTGTTTTCCATCTTTGCCTGGCTGTCCTAGAATACGTGGAAGGCTCAAGGAAAATGGTTCAAAATACGCATATTGAGAAACACTGGGTTTTCACTAGGGAAAAGATGACGACATGGTGCCCAACAGCTCCAAGAATCTAACGCTTCTCTAATAAGATTACTCCGCTTGTACAGAGTGATCAATTTGAACCACAATTCTTTCAAGTACAGCGGATCGATATCGTACCAGGAGCACCACGTTTTGCTGGAGCACACACTACTGTTGCTGCTCGCTTTTCACGATTGGCTGACTCCATCAGACTGGATATGTCCTTCTCCAGAACCTAAACAAGAAAAATGCAGTAATGAATCCATGGTTGCAGGAGCAACTAGGGCTTCTCTTGAACTCTGGGAGATCCAATGGAATGTAATGCACGATATGGCCATAAGTTTTACCTGGCAGCAACAAGTTATGGTCAACTCGTGATGGAAGTAGTTACCTCAAATATATTTCCCCGTTGCAAGAAGAGTCATGGTTACTGGGCCAGATATGCCAGTCCAGGATATCTGATATTCCCACGTTGTAGTGCACCTAATTTCCCCCCAGGAACGCAACAAGTACTACCCCTCACGTGCTTTTCACGACCCCTGCTGGATTTAATAGGTTAGTGCTTGATTTCGATCCTCTGCGGAAGATGCTCAGGCTATCACAAGAGTGCTGACTTATGGGCAAAATTAAAACCAGGGCACATCGTTGTTGGGAATCCCCACTAGGGGGGGGTCATATTTGGCCGCCAAGAGAAGGGGGTCGTATTTGTGTTGTGAAAAATCTAAAAATTTATTTTGATAGTTGATTCTTCTCGCTTGATGGACGTTGCAAAGGGGGGGGCGTACTTGCTCCGTTTTTTGGGAGGGGGGGGGGTCCGAAAATCGCCAAACGCATTGATGTGCCCTGATTCAGACCACGGGCGGACTCGAAGCCGCATCTTCAGCTTTTCATGCTGTCGTTAACTATTACGCTACCGGAGCTGCTCTTGCCCTCTCAGCTTAATGGCTACTTGTGCCATTGCCTTCCAGCGCTCATACGTCTGACGCAGTGAGCCGGTTAGCCGCTATCAGCAGTGAACCGCCGAACTGAAAGCTTTTTAGATGTTTGAAAGGCCGTCCACGCACGCAGCGCTAAAAAATAGTTATCAGCAAATACATGGCTGAACTATGTAAAAAGCGCTTCAGTCCTCAGCGTTCGGTGCCGATTCCCGGCTAACGCCTATGGTTAGACGTGTGAGTGCTGGAAGGCAATGCCACAAATAGCCATTGAGCTGATAGGGCTTATAGGACAAAAGCTCCGATTGTCGTAGCAGGGTTTGAGAAGCAGTCCCGCAGCGCTCATATGTCAGACTCGGAGCGAGGGCACCTTTCAGGCGTCAACTAATCTGATGAAAGTGCTCACTCGAAACACACGAAAAATATTGGAGCTGATAGTTCAGGATATGCTTCGATACCGATCGTTTTGGAATATGAACATCGATCCGATACTCACCTTGAAACCTCGGATGCTTTGTAGGACGGCATCTCGCGAGTTGTCAACTTTTCTCATGATCAATGGCATATAGGCGAGTTGTACAATAATGGTGATGGCAGAGATACTGAGGGTCAGGTAACCCGCATAGAAAAACCACATCTGAACCAACAAAGAGTTTATGCTGGGATTTGTACGAGGTTGAGCCACGTAGTCGATATATGAAGCTCCATTCAACCAGGCGAAACAAGGTCGGGCTCTATGAAGTTCTTCGAATGTAGAGGAAGCGGAAGACAGAAGGACAGAAATTTGTTAAATGAAGGAAAAGGAATGCAAGAAAAAGAGCGATCTCTGAGGAATTCAGAGGACTGCGAAAAAAAAGAGGAAACAGGGATGAACGGTGGACAAAATGATGAAGGCTATAGGAGATTGAGTGAGGTAACGGAATTTAAATGCTTGGCTAGCCACCTTCCGAGTAGTTTACCTTCTATAGCACTCTGCTGCTGTCATGTGTGTTTACTCTGAGTCAGGCCACTAGTAATCTCCAAATTCGAAGTTTCTTGGACCCGTCCATGAAGGATAAAGTTGAAGGTTTGTTAAGAAATAGGGCGAATTAGCATTTTGAAATGGGATGACATATATAAGGACTCCACTGTGCGAATAACTGAATTAAAAGGAAAATTGAGTTGAACCTCGTCAACGATGAGCGCTCTCCCCCCCCCCTCTGCACTCCAACCTACTGACTAGTACAACTACATCAAGAAACGAATCAACACTGATGTTTTTGGGGCACGAAGTTAGGCTGCGCCCGCAAAGTGCGTTGTTTTTGTACAGGCTAGGAACGCCATTGCCCTACATGTCCCACAAGTTATGTGAAAAAAAGCTGAAGTGTACTCTGGTGAAGGATGGCGTGATTGTGAAGGAGGTCAGGAATTAGAAAAACTTGTAAAATACGCGTGATTCCTAGTTTAGTACGAAGAGAAGCGACGCCCCAACAGGGGGACGTTAGACTCTGCTTTTATGTTTTCGTACTGCCAAGTTTTTCGATGTAACTTAGCGTACGAAATTTCAGATCGATTTCAATGATTTGGAGAATTTGTTCATACATGCTTAACGGTAGGAGAAAGATCACTCAGAAAAAGACTGTAGGGCTCACCGCCAAAGCTCAAGTTGACGTGGATTGAAAAGCACTACTGATGCATGGATTCAGCAGTTTTCGCATCAAAAAACGTTTTGCCACCAAGTGATGTTGCGCTAATTAGAGCGATGTAGAATGTTTGCAGTTCGCGACCTAATGGAAACATAATCCCGTTCCAAGAGTGCCAGTAACCTTAGAGTGGGCAATAAATAGACTCACAACTAGAATTACAGTAACAGAGAAGAAGACTTTTGACAAAGCCTAAAAGAGGAAAGATCTCTGAGCTGGGTGGACCAATTGAAGTAGGGTAGTTCTCTTCGTAGAACGAACTTCCTAGTCTTGCACAAAGATCATTTAAATGCTCTTCATGATCACTAGCGAAGAATCGAGTGTTCCTCAAGCGATGACTGCCCCATAGAGCTCACTGACACTCGTTCACATCGCCATCTCAGTTTTGAAAAAGTGTAATCATGTTGGCTTCATGCAAAACATAGGCTCAGAAAGGTGTCCAAATTGCGCCTGACAAGCCCAGAAAAAAACCTCTGGCATTCGGTCAGTCAGTCACCACGACACTTGCTGCTTTAAGGTCCATTTTGTAGTGATGGGGAACATTTATTACCAGCAATCAACGAATAGAACTTGCTACAAAAGGAACGAATTTCGACATCCAAGTGCTTGAGAGACGCAGTCGACGTAGGTAATTCGGTCAGAAGGTGCGCGATTCGGTAAGTGGAATGCAGAGTGCGAAAAAGTGATGGCGAAAATGTTGTCGAGATGAAAACGAACGCATCCGTTCATTGCGGGTCACCCTACGGAGAACTAGGTAAGAAAAATCAGGTCTTCTTATATAGTAGACGATTTGGTGACCTGATTTCGTAATCAGTTGAATGGAACACTGTGATGACATGGATGTTAAATCTTTCATGCGTTTTATTACACTAACTATACTGTATACCGATATACGTATACCGTACGCGACCTTGGAACGATCTGAAAAGTCCCAAAGACAGGAGGACCTCCACAGAGGCAGATTTCGACCGGAAGATTCGCTCATCGTTTTCCCCACTTATCTGAAGTTTGTCTCCTTTTAAGGATATGTGACAAGAGAATCGTAATACGCCGCGCTAGTGGACGTGGCACTGTGCGAGCGTCCCGCGCCACTCGACAGACTAGATTGCGACGTGCTGGGGCCAGTTGGACTCTAGTTGCTCTGGGCCAGTTGACGTTGTTAAAGTGAGAGGAGATGTGGTTCATCCATTGTCTCTGGTTGAGTTCGGTTGAGTTTCGCTATTCCAACCAAAGCACGTCTTGCTACCACAACAAAGTGCAAAAAAAGTCCGCCATACTTAAGCAATCTTACCCCAAACGCCCAGCGCCGCAGCAATTACACCCCACAATCCCCTGTCCGTAGCCAGCAGCGTGGTCATGTGAGAAGGGTCGCACTTTGGCTCGCTAAAGGAGGAGGGGGTCGTATTTTGGTCGTTACCCCGGTGCGAATTGCAGTAAGGGGAGGAGGTGTAAGAGGGAGTTGTACTGCCTTTGCAACGTCTCAGGGCACTTGTCAACCGGGAAGCCTCTCCTCTCTTTCTTTTTTCTTCCTCCTTCCTTCTTTTCCTTCCTTCCTTCTCTGATCCCTCCTCCTTTACCTTCTCCCTTCAACTACTGGACTGGTAGATGCCTCGTGAAAATACCCCTGGACCCTCGCAGCGAGAGCACGTCTGGTTGACAACAGCCCCGTAACCTCTTTTGAGAGAACTTTGCCGCGTTTGGGGAGTCCCGGTTTGTAGCACCTTTTCCGGTTTTTTCCGCGTTTCACAATGGTGTGTACCTCCCCCCTGCCACGCTCGACGGAAAATTCTGGGTGGGAAAGCCGGGAAATTTTAAACAACGGTAGCAGTAGGGAGCTGTGAACTTGCAGGAAAATGGTAGGTGATGGGGATGAGGAGGGTTTTACCGAGACCCCCTTTCGTTTTTGGGGCGAGGGAAGTCCGCACCTGACACCCACCATTTCACACATGACGATGCTTAATACCCCGCCCTGGGAGCAAATACGACCCCCCTCCCCCTTCCTCGCTGAGGATTCTCCATCGTGGAACGTGCGTAGAGCTGATGCACGTCGACAACTTGTGCGTCATCCAAGCTGCTGCGCGCACGACGAATGCGACAAATTGCTGATGTGCTGTTCGTCTTGCTCACTTCCAAGGCGTGTACAGGAATCCACAGCAGAATGAGCACTGGTTTCTCGGAGCTCCTGGTAATTTTGTGATCCATTCCAGTCAATCAAAACTCCTGACAAATTTTTTGTCCATGTTCTTCGGAGCGTCTTGCAGTCCTCTGACATTGCTACACGAGTAGCTGCCCGGGAACTCGGACCCATATGCATCTCCCTCACTCTTATCCAATTTCTGCACAATTACTAGTCACTTCTCATTGTGAGCAGAATAATCTGTTGTGTTCAATCACATTTGAGCATCTAGCTGGATGGGGCATCTTTATTGCAATCACGGTGGCTCTCGAATAACATTCCACTGCAGATATTTCAACCCCTTTATTACTAAAAGTCGATAAATTAGGGGTAATCATTCCTGCACGAGCAATGGCAACACCATCATTTCAGTATTTCTTCCTTGGTTGAACACATCGCGTGATGGCGTCTCGCCATCCTCAGCCTGAAAATGAACAGCATTCACTACTGCACCTACAAACAGCCCATCACTGCTCTATCACTGGCCATGAGCTCACCTTAGTTGTGACGAGAACAATCTTATCAATCTTAGCACCACCGTTTTGTCGCAGAATATCAATCCTCGACGACTTGCCCGGTTCAACCACTCCAAACACAGGATTCACACGATACAACATATTATCCGAACATTTCACCTGGAATGACCCATGTTTCAGCGCCAACGGATCGGCTCCCAATTGCCGTTCCCAAAAGAAACAGTGCTCACCTTGAAGAACTTGCGCTCCTGGGTGTCGTTGACGACGTTCACTCCCTTCAGGCCACCAATTGCCTTGTAGCTCAGCTCGCAAGGCTCCACACGAAGCTCAGATGGTTTAGCTTGAACGCAAAGGGAATGACGTATGGATATCAGATCGTCGCTTGTGGGCGCTCTATAACCGTTTCCACACTTCACACCGCTCACTCCTCACAGCCACGTGAAGTAGTAATTGATACTGAGAGCGAGCAAGTTGCGTCCATTTTGAAGTGCATGTGCTAGAGAAGCGGCTAGCACATGCACTTCAAAATGAGGCTGAAGTGCGAGAGTTGTGTACTCAAACCCTCGCTCAATATCTAGATCTTAGCCAACAACATCGGGATTCGGAAGGGGGTCCGAATTGAACCACTCACGAGGATTCAGTAAGTTTCAAGGTTTCACTTACCTGGAAGAGATGCACCAGATGCCTGAAATTGGCAGGTTTTAGTGAGAATAAGCATCACTAGGGCAGAGCGCACTTCCTGACGTTGGACGTCAGCTCATTTGCCGTCAGAAACGCAGCCGGTTCCTCACCTATCCATCCCTGGAGTCGCGGTTTGAAGCCCTATTTCTGCACATCGAAGTTTCAAACGGCCCACGGGGGAGCTATGAAAGTTAGAAGTTAAAGTTAGAGTTGGGCTCATTATATCACACTGTTTCATTCGAATCTTCTCCAAGGTAGTTGGTTGGTCTATAGAATACGGATAGGTGTGGGCAAGTTTAGTGATGGTGGCCAGCTTTGTTCATGTTACAACCATTCCCTAACACAACCCTTGTAGATTACGGTGTGATTCTGAAGTCAATCCATTTTCAATCAGCTTCTCACAGAGGCGGGCTGCTTCCAGAATTCATGTTTTCGAGCGGTCGATCATGTTGTATGACACTTACCCTAGCGCTTCTGCTAGACTTCGACCTTCGGGAACTTGATCCTCGTTTCCTGGAACGTTCACGATTACGACGAGCTCATGTAGTACTGAGAGAGGGAAAGCTTACGACTTGCTCCTTCTGCTCTTACTTCTAGAGGACTGAAATATGTTCAGTCTTCAGAGAAATATGTCTATCGTAGCCGTCTGAGTGAACTTACTCGGGAAGACTTGCTCCTCTTTCCCTTTTTGCTTCTCTTACTCTTACTGCGGCGCGACTTTTTAGATTTAGATCTTCTAGACTTCCTAGACCTGCCGCTCTTCGACGACGACTTTCCTCTCTTGCTCTTGCTCCTGCTCCTGCTCTTGCTTCTGCTGCTCTTGCTACCCTTGCCACGACGAGACTTGCTGCGACTTGATCGAGATGACTTCCCCTTGCGCTTTGACTTTGAAGACTTGGATCTTTCAGACTTCCCAGACTTCGACCTTCCAGACTTCTGAGACTTCCCGGCGCTGCCTCGCTTCTGAAGTGGCGTCACACTAACCTTACCACCGCATCCGTATAGAGCAACTGCCCCAGCGGGCACGGCTAGTAACCAATACATATGCAGCACCACCCCGCGATAACTCGTTTATAAATGAGATCTTATCCGGTTGATTGCACAGAAATCATTGGTAGTCTAAACCGCTTTCTCGTGCATTGCTAGTAACGACTGCTGCTAAGCTTTTCAAAAACGCACGGAAGCTGAGGAAGGGTAAATGAGCTCGAATGCTCCACCTAATCCCTCTGCGATCACTTGTTATCACAGAGAGTGGACTAGAGATCCGCATATAGACGAAAAGCTGCTGAGTAGTTCGATAGCAAAGAAAAAAAAGCAAAGAAGCCCCATTTCGATCCCAGTTTGTACGTGCCCAGTAACTCCATCTCCAACACTACGCCCCCCATCCGCACAGCTGATTCCCCGATAAGAACTCTACGACCGTACAAGTGACGATTTTCATGCTTTTTCGTCCTGCAGCTTCGTTTTTTTCACTGAAAGGCGGGCCTTGAAGGCGGAGTCTGGAGGCGGAGTCACTGGAGAAAAGGAGGCGTCACTGAACCTATTTTGCGTTATAGCGCCCCTCCTCTTACACTTTTTTGCCGCGAAACCGGTACAGGGTTGTTCGTCGCGGACCACATTACCCTTCCGCCGACATAATTTCAACCTCTATTTCCGACCGCGGACCGTACCTTTAACCTCGGCTTGCAGGTTGGGAATTTCTCACAGTTTTCATTCTCACTTTTTTTGGCAGTGGCGGGTATATTCGAAGTGTACGTTGCAGCTGCGCAACGCCCGTGCAATTTACCAGCTAGCAATCTCTTCCAACGTTGAGCGCGTAAAGTTCCCGATTTCTCATACTGTACAGCATTCGGTAATGGGAATGAGTGAGTGCCTAATGATTAGAATAGAGAGAAATAGCTCCGGTGCGTGCGCGAAGTGAGTCCTTCATGCAAAAATTGGCATTAAATTAGGTTACGTAACAAGGATGTGCCGCTCTGATAGGCCGGCCGAGCGACGCAGCGCCTGCACGAGAAGAGTTGCCCTGCCTGGCCCCACGAATTTGAATGTTGAATTTGCGAGAAAGATCGTGACTCGGTATCTGACCTTGCCCCTCGTTGGTTCGCTTGGATTCTCTTCGCCAGTTGAGCTGTTTCATAATCGTTTCTCAAATTTATGTTTGCTGCTCCGCGACGCATGCTATGGCGTTGTGCGGCGAACTACTATTGTCTTGCCCGCCTCCTTTGGAGTGTCACCTGTGATGTATAGAGGGGGGCCAAAAAAAGACACTTTAGCCGAGTCACATATTAGTAAGACTAGGTTAGCCAAGAGAGAAGACGTGGATACGAGTACCAGGGCGGAAGATAGAAAAGATGTTCCTCCATAAGCAGGAGCGGGCTCGTCCATCACTTTCATCTACACCGAAATATCTCCAATCGCGGCCGGACTGAAGAAGGCCTGTGGGCTTCAGATCACCTCCCAACAGCTGCGAAATTTCTTGTATAAAGCCACTCGTTGACAGCTTGGGGACCAGCACTCTTGATCTCGAAGACCTTCACCAACGAACAGCATCGGCAACGTCGCTATGGTCCCGGATATCATATTCACCGCAGTACCCAAGGTGGTATGGACCGGAACTTCGTGGAATGGGAAGACCGATATTTTTTTTTGTGGACCGCGGACTGAAAGTAAATAGAGCAGCTCGAAGAGAATATTCTGCCTTCATGTCGTCGCGTGTACCATCTTGAAAGCTTCCTACTGCTGCAGGGTTGAGTGCCAGCACACGGAATCGAAACACGTTGGAAAACTCTCGCCTATTCGGAATCGAAGGGCGTTGAGTACCTGAAGAAGACGGAATATCTAAGTGTGTCACCTGACCTAAACCCCTCGATTACCGGGTTCGGGCGGAGCTCAACAGGGTGGTCTACAGTGGCGGAGAAATCAACGACCTCGCTGAACTCAGGCACCGAATCACAGCGTGGCAGAATCTCTCGATGGCATTCATCTGTGGCGGAGTTCAACGGTAGAGTACAATGTGCTGTTGTTTGATGGTGAAAATGTTCAGTCAGGACTGAATAAAATGTGATTCGTATCGCCCTGAAAGTCGAGGAAGAAAAGTGTCGCTCTACTCCCTCCCCCTGAGTCACGATCCGTGCAAATGATAGGGCGTGCAACGCGGCGCGTATTGGAGCGCAGTCGGGCTGATGCAATCCAGAATGTGCCTGTCGGCGTGAGCCTATCATTAGCTCGTTTGGCCGCTCTCATCAAAACATAGCTAGCAGAACAGCCACCAAAAAGGCTGTGCTCTGAACAAGCAGCTATTATGATGTGGACGCGCTACTTTTCATACCAGCTTTGTTAGGAGCTCGTGTTGAATAACGGACTGTATTCCCATTTTAGCAAGTCCTTATGTTGGAAAGTATATGGAAACGCTCCATTGTAATGGCCCGTTCTAATTTAAAGTGCGGTACGTTGCGCTCCAACGAAGTGCTACTATTAATGCGACCACCGATTGGATCAGGTACACCACGGCGGAATGATATTACTCATGAGAGGAAACCGCTCATTGATAAAGCAGTTATTATCAAAATTTGTTTGTGGTATCATTTTACGACAACCTAGGTATTCCATGTAGCGGTTGTTAGTAAGGCATTGTTCGCAGTCTGCTACCCTGACGAATCGGAGGGAAAACGTTTCCGCGAGAAGATTCCAATATGTATCGATTCGGTGAAGAGTCCAGCGTTTCCTCTTGATACAAGACAGGTGCTTTGGCGTTCGCTAGCGCCGTGCGCTTTGGAGCTTTTCTCTTGGCGGAGTCAGCGAAATCGATACGCATGTATCGCTTTTCGCCGGAAGGTCGAACCGCGGAGGTTTCTCCAGAGCGGCTGGCGATTCCCCGATCGATACTTAATTTTTGCTTTTCGCCAAACCTCCAAATCGTCAGGGTCGCAGAGTGTGAACAGTGCTAAACGAAGAACACGTGGTCCTTCAGCGACTACAGAGCAAAACTCGGGAAAAAACAGCCGGAAATGGGAAACAACTTTCTTTGCAATCTGTTCCAAGGGATGCATCTTCTATTTCGCTACAGACGAAGGGGCGTCCCAGACAGTATTAGAGTGCAACGGCTCCAAATCTCTTCTCTGGCGATTGAAGCGGGTTTGCAAAAAGAAAACGAGTGATAAGAACAATATGAAACAGTCATTTCACTTTGATGGACAAGGGGTTCGACACCGCGCCAAACTCGCACCACCGGAGGCCGCGTTCATACACAGCGACTCTGCGGAAACCGCGGAATTTCAGAAAAAGCAAAGTATACGTATCGATCTGGAAATTCCGCAACTTCCGCGGAAGTTGCGGGATTTCTCCCGGGCGCGGAGCGCAGGTGTGGCAGCCCCTTGATCGGTACGCCGGGACATAATCAATAGACTGATAGCCACGCTCTAAGGTCGCTTTGCCTTTCGATTCATGAAGTAAGAGTGCATGGTGCTAGTCAGAGGACGTTTTTTTGCCAGGATATCATTCTTCGTTCTGAAGTTACCTTTCGGATCACCCGGCTGCCGCTGGGCGAGGTAGAATGCGATAGCTATGCCAAGTGGTGATAGCAATTTTTTATTGAAATGTAGGAGAATGAAAATGACTCAACATCAGTCATTGTCTACCAGTATCTATCTGGTCCCTCTTGCTTACTACAGACTTTCAACGTGAGAAGGCTGCACCATATCATTAAGGACCGCAGTTGCGACATCAGAATGGGTAAAGTTGAATTAGTCCGGATGAGAAGATCCTTGGATCGGCTCCGTTTCCTGAAACGTTTACAAGTACGACCAGCTCATGTAGCACCGAGAGAAGAAAAGCTTACGACTTGCTCCTTCTGCTCTTACTTCTTGAGGACTGAAAAATGTTCAGTCTTCGGGGGAAATGCATCTATCATAGGGCTGTTCTGGCTGACCTACTTTCACCGTGAGGACTTGCTCCTCTCATGCCCGTTTTTTGGCTTCTCTTACTCTTACTGCGTGCGGTTGCGACTCTTTTAGAATTAAGATCTCCTATGCATTTCCTAAGCCTGGCCGCCTCTTCGAGCGGACGGACTTTCCTCTTTTGCTCTTCGGCTCGGCTTGCCTCCTCGCTCTTGGCTTCTGCTGCCTCTTGCACCGCTTTGGCCACGTACGAGACTTCTGCTCGACTTGCATCGAGATGACTTTCCCTTGCGCTTTGACTTTGAAGACTTCGACCTTTGCAGAGCTTCGCCAGCTCAGCTTCGACCTTCCCAAGACTTTCTGAGACTTCCCGCGCTGCCTCGTTCTGCGAAGTGTGCGTCAGATTTTCAGCCAGAAGAGTAGTAGAGCAGAAGAACACAGTGGAATAGCAATGAACGGAGCACTCACTAACCTTACCGCATCCGTATAGAGCAACTGCCCCAGCGGGCACGGCTAGTAACCAATACATATGCAGCACCACCCCGCGATAACTCGTTTATAAATGAGATCTTATCCGGTTGATTACACAGAAATCATTCGTAATCTACACCGCTTGTTCCTCGCTGCAGTTGCAAGTGACGACTGCTGCTAAGCTTTTCAAAAACGCACGGAAGCTGAGAAAGGGTAAATGAGCCCAAATGCTTCACCTAATCCCTCTGCGATTACTTGTTATCACAGATAGTTGATTAGAGATTCGTATATAGACGAAAAGGTGCTGAGTAGTTCGATAGCAAAGAAAAAAAGCAAAGAAGACACGCCAAGTGCCCCAAATAGGACCCCATTTCAATCTCAGTTTGTACGTGCACAGCTTAACTCCATCTCCAACACTGACGCCCCCATCCGCACAGTTTGGTGTCCTCGATAAGCAACTCTTACAGCCGTGCAAGTGACGATTTATCGCTTTTCGCCCTGGCAGCATTAAAAATTCTCGTTTTGTACTGGCAAGGTGGGCGTTGAGGGCGGAGTCTGGAGGCGGAGTCACCGGAGGAAAGGAGGCGTTACTGAATTTATTTTGCGTTCTAGTGCCCCTCTCTCACACTTTTTCGCCGCGAAACCGATAGAGGGTTGTTCGTCGCGCGGACCACATTA